AGATTAACTGGAGAAAATTATTTGGATTTTCTACAAAATACGTTGCCAGAATTGTTAGAAGATTTACCTCTCCAACTTCGGAGAGATATGTGGTTTATGCAAGATGGAGCTCCACCACATTTTTCTTTAAGCGTTAGAAACCATTTGAATGAACAATATCCACACAAATGGATAGGCAGAAGTAATGACGCACCTGTAAACTGGCCACCACGTTCCCCAGACCTAACACCGATGGATTACTTTTTATGAGGACATCTGAAATCCACAGTTTACAGGGAACCTGTAGAAAATGAGGAACAACTCTGGCAACGTATTCAAGATGCAATAAACAATCTTAGAGGTGATGAAGAAGTTATGGAAAGGATACATTTATACATTTTAATTTTCTTCTACGTATAAATCTTTGTATGCGTGAAAATGGTGAACATTTTGAACAATTTTTGTAAAATCTCTATTTTGATTATGTTGTAAATAAATATTTTTGTGAAACCTATACACTCTAAATTATTAAAACAGAAATTTTGCGAAAACCATGAGAGTAATCGAGTCTTATCAAGAGTATCTTTTTTAAAGTAAATGAGTTGCGCAATCTAAATTTCATACTCAAACTCCTTTTCTTCCATTGGCGTAGAATTTTTAAAGGTGCAATTATTTAAAAAATCAAGTTCTACGCCTATGTACTATTATCGGACAAAATTTTAATACCATTTTTTTTACCACATAAAACTCTAACAATATACCAAATTTCAGCAAAATCGCATATGCCGTTTTAAATTTATATGGGAAAAACGATTTAAACATTGTAACTTCAAGGCCCTCTGGAGCCCAAATGAAGCAACTTTGTACTAAGGTAATTTTACTTAAATCGACTTATTTTGGTCTAAGGAATATGTGGTCTGTTTTTGTAAAGACCTTTTACAGACACCCTGTATAATTATTGGGGTTAGAAATGTGAAATGCATAACCGGTACCTTCGCTGGATTTTGAGCCGTCTGTATAAATGTAAAGATGGTTGAAGAAGCGACTCAGGATAAATTGAAGAATTTTATTATTATAGGTGTATATTTCATTGTAATGGGGGAATATTACTGTTGGCTTAAACACGATAGTGTCGAAGGATAAAGTGTATATGGGAAATGTATTAAGAGATATTTCTGGATTCGTAGTTTCATTGTTAAAAGCATCTGCTAATAAGGGACTCTTTTTCAATTTCCAGTAATTAGCAGTAAGATTGTTTACTGAGGGGCAGTTCTTGAGCTTTAACTAATATTACTTGTATTGGTGATGGTTTTATAGCTCCAATGTAGATTCTTATTGCATGATACTGAATTTTGTGTATTGTACGTATGTAACATTCTAATGCTAAACCGTAAATAATACTCCCATAATCCAGTATTGAACGAATGTATGCCCTGTAGAATTGGAGCGCAATATTAGGATCAGCACCCCATTTAGTTTTTGTGACACGTTTAAGCTTGTTCATTCCTTTCTGACATTTATTTTGAATGTGCTCTATGTGCTTATTCCGTAAGAGCTTATTGTCCAAAACGACATCTAAATATTTATATTGCTTTTTTATAGAAATTTCTAGTCAAGATAGAGTCACACTTCCTAGAGGAGTTTGTAATCTGTGTCTCGTAAATACTACATTAGTAGATTTGTCAGAAGAAATAACAAAGTTGTGCTCATTAAACTAGTTCTTAAGACAATAGACTGCATACTTAAGTTGTTTAATACAGAGAGAATATGAGTTCTGTAAAAGAAAATGTCATCAGCGTATTGAACATATTTAATGTCTTTGTCAAGTAGGCAATGAATATCGTAGGTATATATGTTATTCGCAATAGCCGAAATCGCTCATTGCCCGAATTTTTCGTCCACAACGCGTTATGGGTATACTAGTTCACCCACGATGCGATTAGAAGCATTCTTTCCGGACAATGGGTAAAGATAATCAACCAGATCGCGTTGTGAGTAAACTATGCTACCCACGACACGAAATAATGATTCGCGCGCTTTTGTTTTGCATTATAGAGAATTTCATTTGTCCACGTCGCGTTCGGGGTATTGCGATTTACTCAGAACGCGTTAAAGGCACGCTGTCAACAGACTATCTGACGTTTGTAGTCAAATAATACTCAGTAACCACTAGTAAATTGTCGTGTGTTGTGGTTTTCGCAAATACTTCAAGATGAAAGGTAAATTTGAACAAATATTACGGGAATTAATGTTAGAGAAGAAGGACAGGTCGTTGTTATTATCAGATGAACGTTATTTAGAAATTGTACACGAAACCAAAGAGGCTCTACAAAGAAAACGGAACGGACTTGAATTATCATCAAAACAGTATCGTAGAATAAAACGATATGATTTATTAACAGTTGGTGAAAAAGATAAACTAGTTAACAAAGAATGTTTAGGAAAACAATCAGGTTTAATTTTTTACTGTGCAGCAAGTGAAATGTATGACGTAATACATACAGCACATTTACAAATAGGACATAAAAGAGAAAAGGCAATGGAAAATGAATTAAAAAAGAAATACTGCAATATTACTAGAGAGGTAATTTCCATATATTTAAACCTGTGTCAATCCTGTGCTTTGAAAAAAAAAAGCAAAACGTAAAGGATTAGTTGTGAAACCTATAATTATGAGTGAAATGAATTCACGTTGCCAGGTAATTTCTCCACTATATCTCTTTACATTGTCAGTTAACAATTTTTTTATAGGTCGACCTTATCGACATGCAAAGTGAGCCTGATGGAGAATATAAATTTATTCTCAATTACCAAGATCATCTAACTAAATATGTGGTGCTGCGTCCACTTAAAACAAAAACAGCAGATGAAGTGGCAGATGTTATTCTTGATATCTTTTGTTTGTTTGGAGCACCAAATATTTTACATAGTGACAATGGAAGAGAATTCTGTAACCAAGTAAGTGTAATGGCTTTGTACAAAGGCTGTGTTTCATCTGAGTAACTTAGAGGTCTTTGAAAAGTTAGCAGCAAGTTGGTCCGCTATCGAATTAGTCCACGGTAAACCTCGACATTCCCAGAGCCAGGGTTCCGTTGAACGAGCAAATCAGGACGTTCGTGATAGCCTTGTAGCCTGGATATCTGATAACAAGTGTCAAAACTGGGCAAAAGGACTTCGTATTATTCAGAGTAAGAAGAATCGCAGTTTCCATACAGGTATAAAGCGAACACCTTATGAAGCCATGTTTGGAACTCTACAAAGAAATGGACTATTGGATACGTGCTTAGATACCTCTGTCGTAAATGGGATTGAAACTGAAGAACAACTTGAAGAGCATCTGAAATTGATGAAACTTTCTTAAGAAAAAGCAAATACAGTATCTGAGAAATATAATTCTGAAATTGGTGAATCGGAACTAGAAATCGAAACCGAATTAGAAATTGAAACGGAACTAGATACCGAAACAGAAAATTATAGAAACGACAGAAGATTGGAGAAGGAAAATGTCAGTATGACTAAATGTTTTGTTTGTGATAGCATGTACGTACCACAAAATGTGGGCATTGAATGCAATGAACCATTTCATACGGAATATGGTGCTGATTTGGATTTGCCATTATGCAAACTTTGTTGAAATAAAAAAGTAGCTGATACAGAGAGAAGGGGTTGTAAACAGGGGCTTGAAAAACAAGCTGATAAAATTCTTACCCAATCGCAATGGAAATTACCAGTTGTCAATATAGGTGACAATGTTTTAATAAACATACCAGAGGTAGATCGTGGACGTCTAGCTCCTCGAAATATATTAGCAATTATTATGGATAAGACTGATCAAGATTTGTACATTCTTGGCACCAAAAATGGGAAATTAAAACGATTATACAGCCGAAATGAGTTTCAATTATCGCCTTCAGTATTTTTATCACTATCTGAGATCCCTTCAGGCTCTTCTGTAAACGTGCGTGAAGAAGCAAAGTTGTCTTCTGGTTCTAAGCAAGGGTTTGTCCGATGTAATTGCCTGAAAGGATGTCAAACGAAGGCATGTAGGTGCGTAAAATTAAATATAAAATGTAATTCAAAATGTCAAAAGTTATTCTTGTAAAAATAAGTAATATTTATTTTTAAGCTCCTTTCTTTATTATTTCTAGTTTTTGTGTCGTTTAAATGTTCTTGGTTTTCTTTGTGTGTTTTTTTAAATAATTTATGTTGTATGCGTTTAAATAAATGTTTTTTTTTTATTTATATTCTTTATATTATTTAAAATGCGTTATGAGTAAAACACAATAGCCACAACGCGACGTGGGCAAACGAAAGCTCTACAAAGCAAAACAAAAGCTCACGAACCATTATTTCGTGTCGTGGGTAACACAGTTTACTCACAACGCGATCTGGTTAATTAACTTTACCCATTGTCCGGAAATAACGTTTCTAATCGCATCGTGGGTAAACTACTATACCCATAACGCGTTGTGGACAAAAAATTCGGGCAATGAGCGATTTCGGCTATTGTGAATAACATATACATTAAAAAGAGGTCCATGGAGAATTATGTTTTGGTCTTTAATAAATATTTTTCGGTTACTAAAGAGTTTGACAACATTAGTAAAAGCTTTCGTTCCTATTTCCAATGTAATCATCTTATCCACTAATATTTAAGTCAACAGATTCGTATGCATCTTTTAGATCAATAAATAAACAGACCAAATAGGAATTACTAGAGAAAGACATTGTATGTCTGTTACCAGATGTGAGACAGCTTCAATTGTTCCCATTCCTCTTCAAAATCCACACTGGGTTGCCGATAATTTGGAAAAGTGTTCAAGATGCCAATCTAGCCTTAACTTTATCATGCGTTCATATGTTTTTGTCAAACAGGATAATAAGGATATAGGACGGTAGGATGTTAGATTGGGATTTTGATTTGGTTTTTTTTATTAATGTGATAACGATTTCTTTAATTTGATCAGCTATTTCACCTTTCCTTCACCAATACCGGTTAAATTAAAAAAATCTTTACTTACGCTTGGATCGCATTTATGATCTGTGCATGAATATTCTTTTCCATTTGAACTGCACTGACAAGTGTTACAGTCTACTATGAATTTCGAGTTTGCCTTGCAAAGCGATGCCTCTGAAACAAATTAAAAACTATTTTACTATTAAATCGTTGGTTAGGTAAGTTTTTCTTTCACCCTGTATTTATAAGATCGTTTACTAATGATCTTTATTAATTAATAATTTGTCTAATCAATAATAGAGGAGAATAGCTAAATATGGAATATGTTCCTAAAATGGAATACCATTAAAATATTTTAACTAGCTTTGGCAACGCCGCGCAAATCGCATCCAAATAATGTAGTTCAGGATATAATATATTGGACTAGTGAACACTAAATGCAAAGTATGCCGCCTCACAAATTTTTCTAATTTTTTCGCAAAATCGAATATTTCGTAGGTACGTACTAATAGTATTAGTGCACAAGGGGTTTATGAACCACTAACTTTTTATGCAAAACATGTGTTTGAGCATAATATAAGCTCCTTATTTATGTATAGCAAATTTAACTAGTGTAATGGCGATTTACCTAATATGTAACGGTGCGGTGTCCGCAATTTGGAACCCACGAGTTATATTGAAATCAGAGCTGAGCAGTACTCGAGTAAATTGTACTCAAAGTACTCAGTAATTGGTACTTGTAAGTACTTTCATCCTGACGATGGGACTCATAATCAAAAAATTTCAAGTACTGTATATTTTAGAGAATTCAGAACTTTTTATTCCTTCAGCTTATGAGTGACGAGTACGAGTACCCGAAGCATATATTATAATGATTCCACCTTGGAAAGGTTTATATCATTCCAATATCCTAGAAATAAAGACGACATGGTTTCAGCTATAAAATCTATGCAACTTCCTGCTAATACAGTGACGAGACGTGTAGAAGTAATGAATAACGACATTTTTTTACAGTTAAGAACTGATTTAGATAACTGTGTTTATTTTTCACTTCAACTAGATGAATCAACAGATGTCGTTGACACTGCCCAGATGGCTGTGTTCGTCAGGATGTTTTTTTTTAGAGGACACACTACTCGACAGGAGTTGTTTTCTCATTTAAAAAATATTATTTCTTCCGAGAAAATTCCAATATCGAAAATGGTAGGCTTGACAACCGATGGCGCTCCAGCTATTGTGGGTTGTGATAAGGGTCTGGTGGCGTTAGTAAAGATGAAACTTTTCCGCAATTTCTCTGTTACCACTGCATTATCCATCAGCAAGCATTATGTGGAAATTTCCTGAAATTAAACAACGTTATGAAACTGGTGGTAAAAATTGTGAACAAGATTAGAGCTCAAGCGTTACAAAGAAGAATATTCAAAACCTTGGCCGATGAAGTTGACTGTCAATAGTGGGACCTACTCCTTCACTCTGAAGTCCGATGGTTAAGTAGAGGACGGGTGCTGAAACGTTTTAATGATGTCCTATCTGGCATAGTTCAATTTTTCAAACAACGCGACGAACCGACTCCGGAACTAGAAAATTCAATCTGGCTTAGAGATTTTGGTTTTCTCGTGGACATTACAGAGAAATTAAACGAACTTAATTTGCAGCTTCAGGGGAGAGAGAAAGAACTAGCGGAAATGATTTCTGATTCGAAAGCATTTATCAAAAAGCTGGAGTTTTGGGAACAAAACCTAATTGACAGCGATGCCAAGCATTTTCCTATTCTTTCAGAAAAAATATCTCAAAATCCATTAGAACCCTATGACAGCAAATATCATGTAGAAATAGTTTCTACCCTGAAGGTTTTAAGGATTTCAACGAAATGGCTTTAGTAGCGCAGTTTGTTGTTTCACCCTTTATGGAAATTGATATCCAACAGTTTGCAACTTGTGTTATTCAGAACTTTGGCGAAGACATCGCTGCAACAGAAATGGAAGTAATTGAGTTTCAAAATGATTTAGCCTTAAAATCGTTAGTCTCAAGTACCAAATGTATCTGGCCTATTGTAAGTAAAGAAAAATATTCAGTTCTATACCGTGTTGCCTTAAAAGTGAAAGCATTATTCAGTTCAACCTATTTGTGTGAATCTTCTTTTTCCAATATGAAGTTTATTAAGAACAAATATCGCAATCGACTTACAGATGAACATTTGGATAATTGTATTCGAATGGCTGCATCAAATTATACTGCAAACATTAAAAAAATTATCGATGAGTCTGAGTGTCAGCCTTCTCATTGAACGTACTTTTTTATTTTTCAATGTGTATGTTCATGATAGTGCGTTACTTTTTTATTGTTATTATTAACTATTTTTAAATCTTACGTGACATGCCGTTGTGGCAGGATAAAAGTTTGTGTTTATTTTTAAAACACCTTCGTTTGGTAGGTAGGAATGTAGCTATGAACAAGTACGTATTAGTAATATTATTTATTTTGTTATTAGTTTATTATTAGTACCTATGTATTATAGTATGACAGCCCACTGCAAATTTCGACCGTCATCTGATAACGAAATTAAATTTGCTCCAAAGGCATTTAACAAAATTGTACTTTACCAAATTGCACCTGTGCCAATCCCTATCCTGAGCAAAGTAGTTAAAAAAAATCACATAAGACATGACAGCGACAATTGTGTTTTCCCTGAAAATTACAATCCTAATTCATTGTGAAACTAGCTTTTAAACCTGAATTATTAATATTTTTACCTACCTTTTAAACCATGTTTATGTATGAAAGGAATAAGGATGGCATTGTATAAACCATTTGCAGAGATAGTCAATAATAATTATAAACTCTTGTTAGACAATTATTTTAAACCATAATCATAGTAGTTTTTTTGTCGTTTCTATGGCAACCTGTAAAAATGAATCACAACAATAGGCACACAAATAAATTTTTAAATCATCAAACATGATTCATATTTTTAATGATTTTTACCTACCAATCGTGGATAGATGTTTTTGTGCGACGTTAAGAGGAAGACAATGTTTCCCTTTAACGATATATATCAAGATATATTTGAATGTTATTTTGTGCGACGTTAAGAGGAAGACAATGTTTCCCTTTAACGATATATATCAAGATATATTTGAATGTTATTTTCTTGAAAACTTTAAGGGCCAACAAAATTAGCGCTGTCATGCCTTATGTGATTTTTTAATATAAAATAATTTTTTTAAGCCACTTTGCTCAGGATTGGGCTTGGCACAGGTGCTATTTGGTAAAGTACAGTGTTTTTCCATGCTTTTGGGGTATATTTCATTTCGTTATCAGATGACGGTAAAAATTTGCAGTGGGCTCTTGGGCTATTATGTATTACCAGTTAAATAGTAAAATAAATACATATAATGATAAATTAACTGTGGATTATTTCATTTACGTTGCGTTACGTGGCTTCCGTGTGGGTAGCTCGCTGTTTATTCCAAAATTAAACAAAGTAGCTCAACACATTGAGAGGTTGGCGACCACTGATAGCTACCTACTCATTTTAAAAAGTTTTTGAGAAAAAGCGAATATTAAACTTTCTTCATGGTTCTTTATCATTAATCAAATAAAAACTAACTATTTTTAGCCAAAAAGAAATATTATTTTAATGTCAGCAATGGTAATTTTTTTAGAAATAAACAAGTTTAGCTATACTCTAACCCTAACATTTCATATTTTATCGGAATCCGGAATAAAAATTACTACTTCCGATATATGCGGAAACGACAGAACTGTTTAGGTGAAAACACGGTGTACTATAAAGGTGTTTCAACTCCCTGAAAAAAACATACCAAAACCGGTCGTACTTAGGGCAAAAATCCGCTAGGTTCGCTAGTGTCGTTACGGCGGAAAATTGCGGCAATCTTTTTATCTGTCAGAAAAAGTGCAATCATAAAAATAGTTCTTCTATGGTGAAAATTCGAGTTTATATGAAATGAAAAATGACAAAACTAGCAGAAGAAGTACAGATAAAAAAATTAATGGTCAACAAATAAGTTTATTGTTATTGATGGTTGCTTATAAGTGTTTTTTTTTAAACAAACTACACTGATGTGTGCGTTTATACGATCAAAAAAAGATTTAATAAATATGCTTTGTGTTCAAATATTACCTTTGGCTTTGGCAAAAACAGCAATACAGTGGATTACTGATTATAAAATGAAGAAGTGGACCTTAACTATGGTACTCAGATTGAAGCTTATTATTTATAAAGTGAGTTTTGTGATTTTCATTGCCCAGATTAAAGATATTCAATAAACATTTAGTTTATTACTACTACTATAATCAAATCCATACATAGTGATTGGAATTACAAACATTTCTGTGAAATAGCATTATACCAGAATAATGAAGTCTTACTGAACTGGAGTATATATGTTTCCAAAGATCAGTAAGTACCTATATCAATTATTATTATTTTTATCAATAAGTATCAGTAATAAATACATCTCAAAGAATTACAAGGTTGTAACTGTACTTTTTGGAAAAAATTAGATTAGTAGAATATATTAATTAATTTGTTTTTGTGACCAATATGTTCATCTGTTAATTATCAATGTTGTGTTATCGAAGCACTAAAGTTATTCACATGGTTTTATCAGCATGTACATAGAACTTATACAGTTTTTAGCAAGTGTCATTATAGTAGTTAGATCTAATCCCTAATCCCTAACAAATGTAGTCTCCATCCTCCAATTATATTAAGATTAAAGGCCAGGTTTTTTACCTCTGAATAAAGTTGAACTACTTGCTGATTAGGCTATAGATTATACCTATGTGTAACTTTACTCAGAGGTTAAAAAATCTGCCTTTAAAAGAACTGTGAGTTTTAGAGCATAAAACGTATTACATATAATGGGTATTTTTTATTAAACTTTTTGTTTTTAAACAGTTTTGATTGAAAATTATAAATAAAGTGATATAGGGTACCTAGAAAGATTTATAATATAAAACAACATTTAAAAATTCTGAATTAACAAGAGTATGTATTTTCTGTTCCAAGCGTTGTCTCTGTTACCTAAACTAAATACAAGAAACAAAGTTTTAACTGGCAGTTACTACTATGCTTTATCAAATATTATAAAAAATGTAGGTCACTTAATTCTTTCTGCATTTTGTACCACATAGGATTTTCTCTTAAA